GCATACCCTGCTCATATGACCATTACAATCACTAAGCCCGGCAACAAGGCTATTGAGATTCGGGCTGTAGCTCAGGACGGCACCATCGAGATCGAAAACGTCTGCTTCTTCCCAAAGGACTCGCTGCTCGAGGCACAGAGCACCAAAGATGCTTCGGAAGCCCGCAGCCTGTATGCAGGTCCGCCTGTTGAGGATCTCGATCCCGAACTCCAGCAGATGCTCCACCAGTATCTGGAAGAGAGAGGGATTGACGAGGAACTGGCCAGCTTCCTTCCAGAGTACCTCGATTACAAGGAGCAGAAGGAATATGTCAAATGGCTCGAAGGTGAGTTGATAATCCCGGGTAAATTTGCGGCGGTGCTAACCTCTGAATAGATCTCGAGAACTTTGTCAAAGAATGAAGCTCCCTACCCGGGCTGTGTTTTTATTATTGGGAATTGCTTCCTGCCCATTTCAGTAGATCCTCCACTTTGAGCAACATCTGTCATGTCCAAAAAAAGGTGTACTATATGTTACAGGGACGACCCTGGACCAACAATGAAATAATTCCGATACCCAGTTGACGTGTTGGTCAACAACATTGAATTTTTATGGTTCAGCTTCAACCACAAGTAGATTCGGTGGCGAGTACGCTGGATTTGTTTGTCTTTGTGACTCGTGGGAAAGTAATAGCTAATAGCTGGGAGTTGGGAGTTGGCGTAAGTCTCACTGAATAATGTCCCAATACTAATTGGTGAACCTCACTTCGTGGGGTGTGGCGCGTTCCGCGGCTCACGCTTGAGCAAATGTTTGGTCTGAATGGGTTGACACGGATGGTTACCGAGAGTTTGCACAACAAGTTCCCTCCATGGACAAGACCAATTACTCGTCCACGTCAGCTTTGGCTGCTTAGTTTGCAACCATCTCTAAAACTCTCTGTTCACCCGCACCTCGAAACAGGCCACACAACCGGCAGATGCCTTGTTGCGCTTCTCGTATCCGGCCTTCGTATACCTGGACATTCTCCGTATTCTACATCGTATTGCGACTCCACCGACAATCACCTTGTCTCGATTTCTCCTACCCCTCACGCTTCGGACGGGTGCTGACACCTCCCAGCCAGCTTGGCTTGATTCCTTGCCGAAATCCTCGTTCAGTCGGTGCAATTGATGAGCCCGAGGCTATCGACCCTCCAATAACGACCAAATGCCCCCAAAATGAGTCTGAACAACGCGGGGGCCTGGAACCATTCATGGACGCCTGATGCTCAATGTGGCCGTGGGCTCCAGAAACCCCGGGGCAAATCCAGCTGTTACATCATCCTTACAGGCTCAAATATGATCGATTCTGGGCGTTACCCGCCTAATCAGACTCCTCCCCCGAGTTCCCAGCCATGGAAATGGGGTGGGTGGAGAAAGATGCACACGTCTGATAGGAACAATGCCAGACCAGAAGTACACATTAGGGAAATCCCTGTCAATCAGAACTGTACGAGAGGTCACGATGTATACGGTGACCTAGGCTCAAGGTTTCCAAGTGTCACGGACCTACATCCCCTTCCAGTACTACTACGCGAAACTACATTGTCCATCAGACCTTTAAATCCCTGACATCTCGACGCTGTAGTTTCCCTCAACTAACACTTGAGCAACTTGCTTGCAACCAAGCGCTCCCTCTTTATCGCCTCGTCTTTGGATCAGCCCAGCATGAACCACTACCTGAACCTGGGCCTCGGCTTCATCGGGGTGTCGATCATCTACTTCTTAGTGGCTTCTTTCCTTGCAAAGCGCTACCATGCTAGAAAAGCCAAAGAGCTTGGATGTCAACCAGCCTGGGAGCGCCCTTATCGGTGGCCGTTGGGCATTGACTTGGTCTGGGAGATTGTTCAAGCAGACAAGAACAACATTGTTCCCAGTTACTTCCTCGACGTCTACAACAACAGGACTGGCAAAAAATCGACATGGCAACAAAATATGCTGGGAACCATGGGCTACGTGACATCGGATCCCAAAAATATCCAGGCAATACTTGCTACTCAGTTCAATGAGTTTGAGCTTGGAGAAGTGCGACGTGGCAATTTCTTCCCCATGTTGGGCAATGGCATCTTCACTACTGACGGCAAAGCATGGTGAGTAGACACTCCCCCTCAAGGCTATGCAGTGTGACCCTCTGTTGATACGATCAAAGGGAGCATTCTCGGACTCTTCTCCGCCCTCAGTTTGCTCGCCAGCAGGTCGCCGACTTACAACTGGAAGAAATCCACGTCCAAGACATGTTTAGGCATCTGACCACCACCACGAACGGGTGGACTGCTCAAGTCGACTTGGTCCCGCTTTTCTTTCGTCTGACGCTCGACTCTGCCACCGAGTTTCTGTTTGGCCAAAGTGTGGACTCACAAATCACCGCTTTGCCGGGCTACACGCAAAGGGCCCGGAAACCTGGTGAACTGGACTGGACGGCATTTGCTTCCTGCTTTGATGGCGGCACCAATGCTCTCGGCGTCCGCGGTAGATTGGCAGAGCTGTATTGGCTATACAGCCCTAAGCACTTTTATGACAATTGCAAGGAAGTCCACAGATTTGCCGACTACTACGTCAATCTTGCATTAACCACCGACCTGTCGTCGTTGAGTGAGCACCACCTGGAAAAGGGCCAAAAGAAGGAGAAGTATATTTTCTTGAAGGAACTTGTGCAACAAACACGGGACCCTATCGAGCTTCGGAGCCAATTGCTAAACATTCTTTTGGCCGGTCGCGACACAACAGCGGGTCTACTTGGCTTCACGTTCTACTCGTTAGTCAGACATCCTGACGCCTTCAAGAAATTACGTGAGATCATATTAGAGGATTTCGGCACCTACGAAGATCCCAAGTCGATTACCTTCGAAACACTCAAGGCTTGCTCGTATCTGCAAAACGTCCTGTCCGAAACACTTCGACTCTATGCCACTGTGCCCTTCAATAGTCGCCGATCAAATCGGGACACAACCCTCCCTCGAGGCGGAGGTCCGGATGGTAATTCGCCAATCTATGTGCGAAAGGGGACAGAAGTGAACTACTCGGTTCACATTATGCATCATCGGGAAGATATCTGGGGACCCGATGTGGAAGAATTCAAGCCCGAGAGATGGGTTGGACGGCGGCCGGGCTGGGAATTCCTGCCGTTCAACGGCGGCCCTCGAATTTGTCTTGGACAACAATTTGCGCTGACGGAAGCCGGCTACGTTATTGTCCGCATGCTGCAAAAGTTTGACGTTATCGAGACTTACGAGACTGATCCAATCACGCGCTTTTCCTATGGACTCACCACTGCACCCTTGCGCCTTCCCGTCCGTTTCCATGAAGCATCAGCGAATTGAAGAGGATTTGAAGGGCATCATACTGTCATAATGGATTGGAACGCGGTTGCCTTCCACGAGGCAGTGTATCGGTCAGCATCTGAAACAAAGTTTTATTGCAGTTCTCGCCTCTCGCTCGCACTCTCTGTGCAATACCTCATCAAGTATTCTTCACTGTCCAGATACAAAGACCGTATTCATCCTCTCTCTTTCGATCTATTCTAACCTCCATCCACACTACGCTGTCATGACCTTGATTTCAGGCGCGCTTCTTCTCATTGCTTTCATTATATTATACCCAACCGCACCTGTCTATTCTCTGCCTGTTCGCCCGCTGACTCGCGATGGGAGCTTCTCCCTCCTTCGAATCGCGGTTAGTGGAGCCTCCAACATGGTGACAAGTGTACCATCAACTCTCTTACTCGGAACTGAACGAGGCCGTCGCTGTGCTATAAACGGCGAAACGCCCTGTGAAGCAGGCATCTTGACCACTACACCCGAAAGGTCACATCAACCCAAGCTCCCAGGTGGTGGTATAGTGCTTTCTCCTCGAGACTCTATTCCGTCTGGCTGGGACAAAGGGGCCTTTAGTATGAGGTACATCGCAATGGCATCAGCATGTGGTTCTTTCTTAGTCGGACTCCTTCGCATGTTGTACAGTGAGCGCAAGGAAACGGCTTGGTGGTCTCTGCGACATCGAAAAGAAACGGCACACGCTCCAGAAGAACCGTCACAGTAGCACGAGTACGAACAACACAGACCAGGTCAACTAAGTTAGAAGGACGTTTCCAAACTTCCCAGCATCTGGACATGGAAGCACTGGACCATCTACCGCCACTTAGTCGACACTACCAAGCTCAGCATTGTCACTTTCAACTTTACCACACGGAGTGATCTCTGTGGATGCCGACATCAATGGTGATAAAGGAACCGCCCACAAGACACAGGACGACTCCCTCATACAGGTGGAGTGGGCAAGAAGGTGCAGGTATAGAATGAGTGGTGCAGTGCTGGTAGTCGATTCTATGGGTTCCTGGGATCGTGTATGAAAACAGTCAAGTTGCCCTTCCCTGTGAAGGTCAGGGTAAATTGACCTGTCCAATTCTCTTGATACCCCTTGGTCTGTGGCCAGTAGCAGATGAGCTATCGCTCTCGCCACCTATCATGCTCCTGATTGTCTATTGGTCGATACTCAGCACTAGCCGTGGGCACACAAGATAAGCCAGCACGTGCTAAGCGATGACGTTCGAGGAACCCATCGACTTGTGACGTCGCTATGGGATGGAGAGCAAACCACAGAACAGCAAGCTGACCTACCACTCCTAACTACGTACATTGTAGTATTGCTTGCGTGGGATCATCGATCGATAGCCCTGTACCTCGTAGATGGATAGCCACCTCGCTTTGTCGATAGGTGGATGGATAGAGATGCCCATGCGAGCCACGCCAATCAAATGAATTATCACACTAGGTACAAAATACGTACCCATTACGTTCGATGGTCCGAAGGGGGCCAGAAGCAGGTTTTTGTGAGTGGTTAAGAGTCTGGACCCAGACACACTTGCAGAAGAACAGGTCTCATATTCCCATATTTCTTTCACCGTGGCTCCCCAGTCTCAAGCTTGTGTAACAACATACATACCTCGTACATTGCACCAACAACACTCCCCCCCCCTCCAAAACAATGTCCTCTGGCGGCAACACCCCAGCGCACCCCAGCATGTCCTACTCCTACCCGACGGTGCTCCTCCTCTTGGTGACGGGCATCTTCACATTCCTCGCTGTCGTGGCCGCGACCGTCTACTTTGCGGGCTACGCCGACGACGTCGCCGAGTGGTGGGCCAAGCGGTATTACAAAGCCAAGGCCGTCGCCGAGGTCAAGCTGATGGAGAACGTGGGCGAGGACAAAGTCCAGGGGTTGGTCAAAGGTTAGTTTTTGTAGCTACTCTTTCCTAAGAATCTTTACCAGTTCTCAAGTGGAAGGGGGTGTTCTTGTCGGTAACTAGCTAATGTGGCTGTGTACCCGACGAAATAGACTCGCTGAAGAAGAACCCCGTCATGGGCAAAGACGAACTCGACCAGGTCTCGGGCGGTCTGGGCCAGGAGGCCGTCAACGAGGGTCTCGGCGGTGTCAGTGGCAAGCTGGGCGGGTTGGGAAAATTGTGAGGAGCCATATCGGACGCTCTCCCGATCGATGCCCTCTACCTTCTTGGGGATCAGTGGACGGGCCCAGCTGATCGGGTGCGGTGGTGGAACCAGAGCAGGTTGGTATCATGCATTGCGCAACAGGTGCTCAGATAAAGACTTGACGAGAAGCGTGGGCGCCGTGTGATGGACGCGGGTGGTGTCGTCGGTAAAGTATCCTCACCATGTTTGAATGAGAACCTAAGTAATGTAGATGGATAGCAATAGAGGAAGTCAAAGCAGATGGGTTTCTAAAGCTCACGTGATAAAAAGCACGTGAATCCACCACGTGACCAGCGACAAGGACATCCCCCGCCTCTTATTCGTCTTGTATATAAATCTCGCCTCAAAGCACTGGGGTCAATCGACCAGCCTTTCACTTCGACAATGGCGGGGGAACGCACTATATGTGATAGCGCCGCTCGCAGCTTGGCATGTTCTGCCGTAGGGGCTTTTGGGTGTCAAAAGCGCTGTTTAGCTGAGGCCCCCCTGCTCTCTGACAATACGGCACCAGTGAATGGCGGTTTCGTCAAAACCGAGTTCTCAATGCCGTCAAGGTCGGAATCCCGGAACGGTCTGGACGTGAACATCGGCCTACTAGCCCGTACAGCATTTCCGACGCGGATACGTCTTACCAAGTCGTGGCTGTACAACTCTTTCAAATGACCGGATATGCTGGTGAATTCCGAGGTAGGCCACTGAACGTTGAGGCAATGGTAAGTCCATGTCTTGTTACTTAGAGTAGAGAAGTATACTCCTACGCGACCTTTAGGAAAAGGAGTGAAAAGGCTACTTAGGAAGATACCGAGCTAGATAAGCCCAAACTACTTTTAGCTACTTATAAACCGAAGGAGAAAAGTATGCTCCTCGTACCCGAGAAGTATTATTACGACCTGACCAGGAGAGAGGCCCGTAGAGGGGTAAGATAACAGGTCAAGGAAGGACCAAAAGACAAAGTGTGTAAAAGTGCTAAGGGGAGGCTAGGCTAAGAATGGCACTAGACTATATACTCTAAGGGGGACTGCGACAGAGCAGTACAGAGCAACATAGAGCTATAGGGGATGGACTGTACACTCTGTATAGGACTGCGATAGAGCAGTACAGATCACTATAGAGCATCTACGAATCTCCTTCTATATAGTTCCTATAGTTTTCATAGTTTTCCTTCGTAGTTAACCTCGTTTATAAATAATCGAGTTCCTCTCGGTTAAGTACTTTACGTATAGTACCGTATACTATACTCTTAGTTTCGTCTCTACTATACCGTTCTACTACTATATTACTAAGTAAACTACCTCGGGTTTACTTAGGATACCTTACGTATAAAGTATCTCGTAACATTTTAACTACCCTCTTAGATAGTTAATAGTACTAATAACGATATCTAGTAGTTTTAACCCTAAGTTACCCTAAACTAAGGCTTACTTAGTAGCCTAACCCGTTAACTACTAGTATTAATATAGTATCGGTTAACACTATAGAAGTAGTAAAGATAAAGGATAACCTTAAGGTCGAATACTTCTATAGAGATCGAAATAAACTTAGTATATACTTAATTTAACTTAAGGCTGTATTTACCCTATAGCGCACTAAGTATAGTACCGCCGCGGAGAAAGTACTATTCGTAAGACTTTAACTTCGTAGATCTACCTTCGAGTAGTTTAAGTCTCTAATAAATAATTACTTAGGTATAGCCCTAGAGTAACGAGATAAGTGTGATGGGTTAAACCCAGAAGGAGGCTCGGTTCTGACGAACCAGCGCCAAGACTAACGCCACCTCCTGATTGGCTAAGTTTACCTGTACATTGTACAGGTAAAATACAGCCTCCTAATTAGACGAGGCACGTACCGTACAAGGGATACCGAATCCTAGTAAACTAAGACACCGTACGTAAGGGAAGGTAAGGAAGAGAGACAAAAGGTAAGGGAAACGTAAGGCGTGTACGAAAGAGGAAGGATAAGGGAGAAAGGGGAAGACATTAAGTATCCCTTACGGAAGAGCGTACGATATAAGGGGAGAAGGAGGGGACATTATTCCTCCTTCTCTCTCCTTAGATTTATCCTCCTTATTACTAGGTTAGTTAGCTAGTTATAGAACTCTTTCTAAACCCTTACATTAGGATAAATCTCCTATTTTACGTACCTCCGTACGCATCGACAATGGAAATGGATTCTTCGTCTATATTAGGTCCAGCTCCACCTCCGGAATGGACAGCGTAGTTATACGAGTTAATTCGAGAACAGAACTAGCGAGTAGGAGGTCTAGAGCATCTCCTCTAGAACCAGTAGAATGGCGGGAGTACCCCTACTCTCGAGTCGACATAACGAGAGAATAGTAACGTACGGGAACCATTAGCCGTACGCGAATCATCGGACTAGAAACATCGGAAACTCCCTAAACTCCCTGAGTTCAGCGGAAAACGGACGGAATTTCGACCATAACTTACGTAGGTAAAGGCGAAGCTTAGTGTCGATAAAGACGAGGATACCGAGATCGTACGATTTTAGTATATACATAGTAGATTACGAGGAGAAGCCCTCGCGTAAGTTAGCGCCTAGGTAGACGTAGTTATTTCGATAGACTAGATGACGGTTTAAGGCCTTTTTTCTTAACTATAGGCGGCGTACGAGGATTACGAGGCCGCTAAGCGAGCATCGCGGAAGCTCAGCTTTATACGGTAAGGGATAAAGACATTCAGTACGTTCCTCGCCGAATTCGACCGTACGATACTAGACGCTAGCGGCCTTAGCTAGGACGACTAGGTTAAGAAGACCTTCCTAGCTAACTACCTATCGTACGAACTATAGAATGCGATTATAGTAACCCCTATCCTAAGGTCCTATAAGGAGTACTATACGTTACTTCATACCGTCAGTACTAACCTAGAGAACCTTTAGCGTAAGAAGGGACGGGATAAGCCCCGTACGACGAGGAGCTCGTCGGTACCGATTAAGGTTCCCCCGGCGGAGGACATAATGGAATGGAAACTATTAGACGCTACTACCGCCGCTATCGTACGTACACAGCGTACTTAATAGGTCTCTAAGGAGATATTAGATAAGCGAAAGGAAGCGGGACGCTATCTTCGATGCGGATTAGGAGAACACTTCGTACGATAATACTCCCTCCTCCTAGCGATGCGTCCTCGAGCCGGACGAACAGTAGCTACGGCTATTACAGCGGAAGAAGGGGAAGAGGATCTAAAAAACGAGTAGCTCCTGGTAAGAACCGCTATCAGGAGCGTACGGAGATCTAGGAAGCCTAGCGAGGGTTCCGAAGTTCGATAGATGAGCCACCTTTCTTAGTGCCTTTAATAGTGAATAGAGAGTGTTCTATAAATGCACTTACGGATACTAGCTACTCATCGTACGGCCTCATTAACTCTCGCTTTACCTCCCGATAGAACCTCCAGCGTATATAGATTTCCCCTCGACTTATTATAGGATTTAACGAATTAACGAACTCATCGATCTCCGAAGTGGCTAAACTAGAGATCGATATTAACGGATATAAGGAAACCGCCTTCCTATACATTATCCTAAGCCTCGCCTCGTACGATATTATACTCGGGATTCCTTAGATGAAACGAAACGACGTACGACTTTACCCGAAGGAGTCTTACTTACATCTAGAACTATAGAGGTTACGTATATAGAACGAATATAAAG